AATAATATCCTACATGCTCTGCTCTCTAAGACATCAATATTATCGAGAAAACACGTTTTAATACCGAGCGCTTCGCAAGTAGCTTCGCGAAACCATCTAAGTACCTTTTGAAAAATTTATACATATTGTAAAATAAGACTCAATAACAACTTCGGAAAATTAGAAAATAAATAACATGTTTATTAATGATTGACAGCAATTAATTAAAATGAAAGAATCCGTGCGGTCAACTCAAGTCTCAGTCAAAAACTGGAGATAAACAAACCCTCCCCTCGTTGCTATAAACAATCTAATCGTCAAGCAATCGTTGTTAACTAACAAACTGTCGTTAGTCTAATAGTCATTAGATGGCGACATACAAATATTTTACAATATATTCTTACCTATTCAGCTACTCATATTTAAAACAAATATTAGAAGTGTTTGTTAAGGATGTGACGTTCGAATGAACGTCTTTCATTTATATTCATTCAAAATTATAAGAGTAGTTAAGAAGTATTGACAGATATTAATCTACTACTGAATCTTTCCTTAACACTGGTAATCGAGGTTTAGTACAACGTACCAGATAGTTGCAACATAAACCTTTATTTGAAATCATACGCGATCATTTTCATCCAGGTGACAATTGTTTTTTGTTTTCTCTAATACGAGAAAAACAGTGCTCAGCAAATGCTATGACAGCAATTATGATTTCTGCATTGGTTTTAATTAACTCGTGGACACCAGAAATAATCGATTACCTACTGATAATTGGTAATATTCTATACTAAGATGCTGTGAGTGATCTAGAGAGAAATAAGTAGGACTATCATTATTTAGTCGCAGATGAAGTGAAGAGAGAAGTTAAAGTTTCTGATGGAGTTATTGCAAATTATTCTACTCGTACGAAATATGAAAATTTGGCTAATGCTGATGTCGGAACAAATTCAAGTGATTGTTAGAATGAATTTTCTATCTATGACAGAAGTACAATATTAACAGTCAATTCGTTATTAGTAGCAACTACGTACTGATGTAGAAGGTACTACATTCTAAATTCTCATTGCTGGGATAAGTGGAGATGACCTCAGACGGGAACCTGCATATTCTGACGATCTAAGACAATCTCTCTAAGTACTGTTGTGCCATTCCTTTACCCGACATTCGAACCCAGACCATAGCAGAAGCCTTAGTCACTCACTTCATCTGCTTTTATGGTAATTCTGTTCAAACGGGGCACTTCTTTCTCCAGCAAACTTCTAGGTAAGTTAGCGAAGATCCTGCTATTTTTAACTATAATACTACGGTCCCCATAGCCACTCAGTTCACCCCGTCCGAACTCTTGTACGGTAAGGTGGCTCGTGCCCTTACTGACTTATCCGACTTCTCTAAAATGAATACCTACCTAGAGGCTTTAGAGAATCTGATCACTCGATTATCGGAAACTCGGCGCTTCGCGCGAGAAAATTCAATAAGAGCTAAAGAAAAGTCCAAAGAGCGTTCAGACAAGAACATGAGGGAACTCCACCTAGAGAAAGGCGATTTTGCCTATGTGTACAAGGAACCACGAAGGGACAAACTCGACGTGTATTGCGTCGGCCCCTTTGAAATGGTAGACTTTACCGAACACGGAAATGTTGTTTTGGAAACGGCCGAAGGTAAGCGTTTTGTCAAACACCCGAAAAAACTCAACAGAAAAGTTAAGCGTTCTAACTCAAGCTTCTTCGCTTTTTTTCCCTCTCAGGAAAGATAGAGGATGTGGCAACGGGACTTCAAGCTCCAGGAGCCAGGACCCCAAGTAGTCTTAACAAGACTGCTCCCTAGAGCCGAACTAGAGGCGGGCCTCAAGAGAAACTACGCGCAGCCCTCGACTAGCCGGGGATTAGGCCCGTCCATCTGGCCCTACCACGTCCCGTGTTCTGGTCGAGCGCCGTCACCCCATGCTGGCAACTCCCCGGCACGATAGGTGGGCGGACACAGAGGTCCAGACCCACGCCAGCCGCCAGGGCGAAATTATGCTCGCTCCTGCTGCCTAATGCTCGCTCTTTCCTATACTCCTATCTGCAGAAATTTACTTAACAAAAAAAGCATTTATACGTAGTTCCAGTTAATAAATAAATACCTCAGTAAACCTCATAAAATAGAGTTTTTCTGACCCGCTTCAATTTTGTGGAATATACCTCTGTACTAGGATTAGGTCAGTATACTCATATTCTACTCTCCCTCACTACCGACACTCTCTCCTTAGGTTAAGGCAAAGGGGATGTTAAAATCCTTTCTGCTTGTTATCCCCTCCGTCACTTAAGATTCTTTCGTATCATATACACACTACTTCTGGCTATCTGTTTCGGTGCAGTAAGACGTCTCTGGAATGGACTGCTCATGGAACAAGCCTGACGAGCATCAACCACTTGCCTCGGCAACCGAAAGAGGTCGGGGTTCCAGAAATGTACGGAACCTCGCTAATGGGAGAAAAGATGGCTACTGAAATCCGTAATTTTGCTCGGCCTCCGCTAGGTTCCTTTGAAGGGTCGAGCGCATTTTCCTTCACAGCCTATGCAGAACTAGATTCTTCCAGCTGGGCAACAATTAACAGCTAGCGGATGCACCACCCCTACCTAATTTCCGTCAGCCGTTTGAACACCTCGACTGGCGCCACTCCCCAAGGGCCTTAACGAAGAAAGAGGAACCCCACTCTGGAACTTAATCCATGGAAATGGAGGTGCCTCGCCCTCATCACAACAACAAAGAGGACCTCTTGACGCATCCTAGCACCCCGACGGTGATTGAGCGAGCAACCGTGGGACACCTTCCTGAATCTGAGTGCCCAGTACCTGCAGTTACTGGCTCGGGAGAGCAGCCAGAATTCTTTTAAACACACACCTCTTCCTTCCCACCACTTTCCACTGCTCCGGCGCAAGAGCCTTATCGAGTCACCTCTTCCGAACATCGCTCGGGCCTCTACTACGAGAAATTCTCCCTCATACAACTTATTAGAGAATATTGGCGTATCGTCGCCACTATAGACATCGCGGCGCTTCTTAATGGCCACCAAGAAGATATTGTAAATTTTCCTGTGCTGGTCTCTGCACCAGAAGTAGTCTAAATTTTTTGAATAGTCTGATTTTCCAAGCAGTTGTTCTGATGGATCTTGTGTGTGCGTCTGTCCATAAGGGCGTGAGGCGTCTATGCCGACATCGTTCGCGCCTTCTATGACAAAGATGTTTAGTCGAACCAACTTGAATGTATTGATGAAATCTGATGAAAGTTAGACTGCCTGATGAGTTCACAATCATCACTATAGATGATTGACTGATGAGTTATTCCATTTTTTCGGAGTATTCTGGAGAGTTCTCTGGGTTTTCACTGGAGCGTTCGACTGCGTGAGTTCTCTGCTAGAACACACGTACCGAGTTGACTGTTACAACGAGTTGTCTGTGGGTTGGCATCATCTGATGATCCCCAAAAGTTGTCCGAGTACGAGCTACGTACAAATACTAGCAGTAACCGATGAATACTGACGACTGCGGATTGTTTTTTCTGGAAACATTGCGTTCTTGAAGCTTATAGATCCTTTGAGAAAGGATATCTACCCATAGGAATCAATTAGGGCAGTCTAATTGGCGTAGACGAGTGAGCAGGAGAGACCTTGAGTATTTTAATTAGTCAGTGAGGAGAAAAATGTCAAGATATAGACGGAATACTTCCGACCAAGTCATAGCACTGTCAAAAACCTGTAAGTTTCTTTATTTCCAATTAATGAAACCTGCGGTGATAACAACCTGCGGAATATATTAAGCTTTGGGAATAATAAAATAAATAGCGTAGATAATAATTTTTTAGCATAATTGCGTACGGGGAGTTGAGACTTCACACTTAGCAACGCAGACTATGAGACGAAAAAATAAATAACAATTTGAATGGTTAACTTATGAACTTCTAAGTTAATTCTATTTGTTGATCATAGCATCCTTAACAACATATACATCTTTCAAGATCAGAAGAGAATAAATAAAGTAGAAAGATTTTTTTTTATAGTTGGTTACAGGGGATTGAGACTTCACATTTAGCAAGGAAGAATGTATATTTATGTTTGTATTAATAATCGGTCAAAAAGGATAAATAATAAATCGATATGCTATCGATTGTCAACAATATACTTGTTAACAGGACTGGCAGCTATAATTATAAAAAATTTGTAAGTTGCTTAATTGATAATTGATTAAGCCTGGTATAATGCATGCAGGCAGCAAGTTACTTATTTTCAAGAATTACAATTGTTGGTATTTGTTAACAATATACTTGTTAACAACACTTACAATTATTATTGTTCAATACTTTTAAATTTTTTAATTGAGAACTAATTAAGCCTGAAGCAATGAATGTAGGCGGCAATAGCCTTCGAATTTCGAAAGATAAGTAGATTAACAATTAACAGAAGTAAAATTTATCTATTTATAATAATTGGAATTGATAGTATTCATTAACAATGTACTTGTTAACAATACTGGTAATAATTATTATTAATCACCCGTATTTTCTTAGTTTTCACTTAATTAAGCTTTGCCTCGATAGATTGCTCAATTGTGTATAATTATTTTTTGTTAATTTGATGATATGTAACATGTAGTTCAATTGACATTTCCATATGACATGTATTTTTAAAGGAATAGTTAATTATGATTGAAACTAAAGTTGAACAATTCTAAATTTAATATTTCTAATTCAATTTTTAATACTTTTATTATGAATAGTTTCATTTCTGGTCACTACGCTAAGTGTTGGAATATTTTGAGATTAGCCTTAACAGGAAATTTTTTTCCTTTGCAGAAATTCAGTTACAAACTATTTAAAGCGTATAAAATCATTTTTATTTTGTTCAAAACAATTGAATACGTCGTAAACAATAGAAGATGGGATTTTTTCAACAAATTGAAGTTCTCATAGCTATAAGCATCATAACTACTCTCTTCGCGATGGCGTTTTCCAGGACGCGTATACCTGCGCTTCGATAAAGGTGCAGAAATACACGTCACTAGCCTGAGGCTTCGCAACATACCACTACGAGTCTCACCTCAATTCAGCCTTAATCTGCGGCCCCAGTTATTTATGGTGTGAGGGAAATCACCGTCCTATTATCAAGAGCGAAACGAATACATAGTAAGTAGTATTCATGAGTTTCCTGAAAAATGTAAAGGTTTAAGTCAACGTTAAGTTTAAGTTAAAGAAAAATTTTAAAATAGAGGCCTGGGTATGACTGTTTTCCCCAAGCTGCTAACTTCCCATTTGGTGCCCTCGATAAGTGAAAACTATTTTACAATCCATATGACGATTTAAACGGAGTTATTTATCTATACGGTCCACATGAATAATGTTTAAATAAAATTAATTCATAGTTCACATTTTGATTCGTTATTCTCGAACTAACCAAGACAAAAAATGTTTAAAATCTCTTTATTGCTATTGTAATCTTTCGAAGAGAATTATTTTAAAGGTAATATCATGCTTTGTTTTCGAAGAATTGACAAAATACCTCATTGACCATTTTTTTTCATCATTACACAGGTCATCAGGTTGTTTACGCGTTTGGGAAAAAGTAATATGTTTTGTGGCCTGTTTCGGACGCATCCTATTCTGCCTGTCGGGCGTGCGCGACAATCTTTAGCGTTACATAAGTCGCTCCATGCCACGCTCCATCGGCAAGAAGCACCCCCTATATATAGTTAAGCAAGTGTGACAATTAAGTCCCTAACGTATTCGCAAAAAGCGTCTCATTTTTTGAAATAGCTTCATTGCTTGCGCCCGTCGTTTATAAATATGAGTAGATATATTAAGGTCTAGATCCCCAGGTACCTATCTACCTCCGGGTACTTTATCTTTTTACTCTCTATGGTGATCTTCGGCAGTTACATTCGTGCCTGCCTTCTGAGGTGGGGTTTATATTCTCGATAGTACGGATTGTTCTTATCCCTGAGTTTCTCTTGCCTATAAGCTTAATCTCCATTTTCATGAAGACTGCCTCTGTTTTCGTTTTTGATAACTCGAGCTTGGCATTCTTGCACCAAGTGAGTAATATATCAACGACTGCCTGTCCTTTAGCCTCGAGGGTTTCCCTTGAGTTTTCATCTATAATGACAATTGAATCGTCCGCATACACCGCATAAAGTTTTCCATGTTCGGATTGGTACTTAGTGAATTTTTTTAGAGCAGTTTTTGTGACTTTAATTCTTCACGTACTAAAGGCCACTATACGTTATCGAATGCGACTGAAATATTGGAAAGCAATGCAACTACGTCACCCACTGTGGATTGTTGCACTGCTTTTCTTACTGTTAGAATTGGGTCTACTGTCGATCGCACTTCCATAAATCCATATTGATGATCTAAAATGTTTCCTTGTTTAAGGACACTAGTTGACAGACGAATTTTTATAAGTCTTTCGAAGATTTTACCTAGTGCTGATAGGAGAGATATTGGTCAATATGATTAGGGTCTGCTACATCTTTGTCCGGACTGTTCAGGAGCGTAGGAATTGTTTTCTCCTTCCAAGCCCGAGAAAAGACACTTTGGGACAAGCATTTGTTTAAGAATGCTAGAAATTTTTCTAGAAGTTGTTTAGCTCTGCGGGCTTTTTTATCCTTTATTGTTGTAACAACTTATTTAAATTCCTCTCTATTGAATAGTTCTACATCCGCTGTGTTGGGTAAGTTCATAGCATTCATCTTTATTCTGCTCTGTTCATCCGTATCCATCTCATGATGGTCATCCACAACATGGACTGCCAGCAATCTCTCGGCTGTTTTTTTGACGTTTAAGTTTATTCTCCGGAACAGCGAATTCGATTGCGTCTGAATTTTTCAAAATTATAGATGGCATTGTAGGAAAATTTATAAAGCTACTTATTGTTTATTCAAATTGTTAAGAACAATTAAATTTGTTACAAACAATGGAAAACGGAATCTATCCAATATTTTTAACTCTATCCACGAAAATATTTTTTTTTTTACTAAAGTTGAGTTACAAACTAAAAATACGTATAAAAACGTAATCTTTTTGTTAATAGCAATTGAATCTGTTATCTAAAATCGAAAACAGTATCAATTCGGTACACTTTAACAATACAAAGGCGGAAGGTACGTGGTGAGATTTATTTAACTTGATACAATCAACGTTATATTATTCTTCAAGTAAAAAATATGTAGTAAATAAAAGGTAAAAATAGGTGTCCGGCTATTTAATTTGCAACATGGCATTTAAAACTTTAGATAATTTGAATGAAGAAATGAAAATCAATGAATCAGTAAAATGTCGAATTTAATTATACATAAAAAGTTGAATAAATTGAAATAACTTTTTATCTAATAAAATATCTATACTGATTTTCACTATTATTTATGAAACAGAAAAAGCGGAAGAGGACAAGTTTGACCTTCTAACAGTGCGTTGAAATATCGGGTAGATAGAAAGCTGGCGAGTCAACGACAAATTTAGCTAGTAAATTCGTAGTTTGCGTATCAACAAAATCTCTAAATGCATTCGGTATTTATGAAATGTCATCGTTTTTAATTGGCAAATCTAGAAAACCTAGATTTTTTTAGCAAATGAAACAATATCTCATACATTACAGTCATCAAAATAGTGCATGGATGAATAACGAAATAATGAAGAATTGGTTTCTTACTTGTTTCATCCCAAAAGTTGAGAAGTCCTACGACCATTGAACGCCGAGTATCTTAATCTAAGAATCAACAGTATTTGGAATGAATTATTCTTCATAGTTTTTTTCTAATTCAGTACGTTTTATGATACAATCAACATAACAATAGAAAACTTGGCGTGACTGTTACTCATTAATTGGTTTAGATATTTTCAATGTAACAAAAATTTCACGTTTCTATAAAATCTTAACAGTCGTGCCAAGTTTTCTGTTGTTATGTTAATTGTATCATAAAACGTACTAAATGAAAAAAAAAAAATTCATTTCGAATATTAATTTTTGACAAATACAATGAGTGTAAAGTTGATATTATAAAACAGTATTAATAAAAAAATATATAGTTCATAACCATTTTCAACTATTTTCTATAATACATAGTTGTACTGTGCACTTCTTTATTAGTGTATTAAGCCAGTTTTAAATTTTTTAAAAATACAAAAAAAATCAGCCTACATCTATAACCGAATTACCACTCACACACTCACTCAGTACGAGATCCTTAATACTTTACACTCTATTGACTTAAAATTCGGTATTAATAAATTCTTTATTAATTAATAGGACACAGTAATGAATGTTATGTTATGAGTACAATTATAATTTATGTTGAATGAGCCCTATTTTTGCGTGCAGTTTGGAATCATAATGTAACATAGCAGGGATTTTCTAATTAAGCTGATGTTTCACAACCCGTATATAATTTGTTGTGTTCGGTAGCATTGAATATTTATATAACTTCCATGATCTGAAATCCACTAGAATCGGCAGGTCTTTTGTGATGTAACTTAACAGTTCTACCCTTTTTATGTCTGCAACAGTCATATGAGAAATAATCCATTTTATATTAATGAGATTGAACCTTTCTTTACGATCTTCCTCTCATACAGTTGCATTAAGCTCGGTATTTGAAAAAGTAAGTATTAATTCATGTTTGGCATTGACAACTATCCGATAGTAAACTTCAATGAATTTCAATAGCATATCTGACGGTATCGAAACATCAAAGTATCTATTATCATTCAATAGTTTTTACTATCAGTTACACAACCTGCATTATCAAGTAATTTTGTTGACCTGGATGAAGAAGTACATATCCCTTCATCAGACTTCTGAGACCAATATTTTTGCTTCGATCAATCTCAACACCATTCAATTCATATCGTATTCCTCCGAACAAATAGCATACAGCTGTATTAACGAATCTTGATGTATCTGCTACAACATTTTTGTTAGGTTTTGTAAATGTTTCCGTGATACGAAGGAAACTTTCGCTCAGCAACAGACACGAATCTTAATGTTGAACTGAAATATATGATTTATCATTAATATTACATGTTGTAGATACGTACGTTTAATGAGTATGCACCTCAATAGACTCATCAAATATGACACCTTTGCTCGAATTAGTAGAATAAACACATGTAAATGATTCTAAGAAAATTTTCTCAAACTAAGCTCAGAGTGTTATTCGCATACTATTAGCAAGTAAATGACCATTTCTAGAATTTTTGCCTGTCTGCCGGTCCAGAATAATCTCAGAAACGGGTGGACTAATTCTAATGAAATTTTTCAGATATAACGAATAGGATCTCAGAAGTAATGTAGACTAAGTATCGATTATGTTAATAGTTGAAAACAATTTCACTTAGTATAAACAACTCAAAAAGAGATTTTTGTAATAAATTTAATTCCTTTCAACGTAATATTTTTTCTTATATGAAAAACAGCTACTAAGAATGTAAGATGAATGGACGTTAACGTTTTTTGTTCATACTAATTCAATATGTCATTAAAAGTCAGAATAGGTTCAATGTAATTAATTGTCCTGAGTTCTTTGAAGAGGAAATTCTTTCTTTTACAAAAATAAAGTTACTAACTATATAAAATAATCGGAAACGGTCACTTTTCGTTCATAACAATTGTATTGTGCGTATAATATACACGAATCAATTCTTTTTCTTTGAATCTCAGCACAAAGTAATACGTCTCTGAAATTAAGTCATTTATACGGATTTTCTGCTGCAAAACTTCACGTAATCAATCTATAATCATGAACATGAGTATGTAACATTGATAGATTAGAATACAGAATACTGAGTATACTGGTAATAATTTATTCTATTGGAAAATTTACTATTTACTATTCATAAATGAGTTTGTTATTTTGACTTGATATAATTTTTGTCATTCAACTGTAAATAAACAAAAGGAAGAAAACAAAATCAGGTCATCATTGATTTATCGATAAATTTTTACTGTAAAAAACAAATGATATTTAAGTATAAAATAAGTGAATTATCTTCATTACGAATTTTAATTGGAAATCAATGATAGTACCAGTTACCAAACTTTCAGAATAATTGCAATGTGTGTTCAAATACATATTTAACTTCCCATTAAGAAGTTATTGTAATTGAGTCAATTAGTGAAACCTAAATTTTCA